AAAGAAGCAGAAGGAAAAGAATTTAAAACCAGATGGGGAGGACGAAGAAGAAGAAGAATCCTACTCACAGGATTCAACAAGCCAAAATTCCACGTCATCAGAATCATCTGAATCGGGAAAAGGAGAGGCTGCTCCCAAACTCCTGAAAACGAAGAAACGCAAGAAGAAAAGACTCTAGAACTAAGACAATAATACTAAAGGCAGTAATTGTGTTAAGCTATTAAATGTGTACTATCATAATTGAACCAAATCTTGATATAACGTGTAATATTAGGTTAAAAAGCATTATTTTTTCAACTATTCAGATCGTGACATGTATTAGACTTCTCCCTTCCTCCAAATCCAGTAGATGAAATAGATTAGAATGGTAGTATTCCGTCCCCTATCAAGTAGATATATGTATTAGATTTCCTTTACCCATCACCCATAGTGATAGTTTTAGGGCATTAGTATCCCTTCCCCTATCCCATAATTGTAGCGTGTAGAAAATGCAAATTAAAAAAAAAGATTCCCCTTCGGGGGGCCAACCCCCCCCCACAAAACTTCAATGCAGCCCCTAGACATCCATGCTATGGAAAAGGCAACCCTCCCACTTACACATGTGTAGTCTCACCCACAAATCCTGGTTTAGTACAGGATGCTAACTATGGCCACAGCCAATAATATCCTTTCCCAGCAGTGCGGTATGGCCCCCTTCTCTGCCCCCTTCTATGCCTCCGGAATGATCTCCCTTTCTCCCTTTCTCATCTGAGGAGGTGAGCTCTGACTCAGGGGAGCTCATGCTGGGACTAGTGATGTCAGTCGTCAGGATGCCACTAGACCTCTGTTTTGTGTAGCCACAAAATATAACACCCTTTCCCCGTGGGCTATGGGGTAGGGGACATTCAGGCCACATGCCTCTGTAGGGGTCGCCAACAAAGAGTAACTGTACATCGCTCAGAGCCAGCAGCTCTGCAAGGATTGAGCGATTAATAAATTGAAAGATTATTATTATTATTATTATTATTAACTTCAGCCAGGACGCCCCATAGTTCAGCTGATAGGATGGGCGGCATGGGACTCTGCCTCTGAGGTCTCTGATTTGCCCAATTAGAGCAAGTGACTGCGTGGGATGACTGGCAGCTGCCCCTCTGTGCTCCATGGATCTGCCGCCTAAGCAACCATGGCACCTGTCGCCTCACAGGGTTGAGCCCTGTGCTGCAGCAGAAGCAGGAGAAACAGATACAGATGAGGTATGGTTAACACAGAGGATGAATAAGTGTCATTTGGGTGGCCGTGCCATGAGCCACAGGGGTAGCCAGACAAACAGAGCCCCCCCCCATGGGGGGGGGAACCACAGATTCTACTGGGGCCTCACTGGCATAACTGTAGTGGTGATGGCGACTATGTTGTTCATCATCATTGCAGGTGATTCAACAAGGAGGAACCTTGGGAGGGCGAAGGTGCGGTATGGGCTGGCTGCAGTGACCAGTGAGGGGATCCTGCCATTCTGCCATGGGGCTGCCATCCCACTGATTCCAGCCTAGCTCCTGCAGCATCCCAACTCAGACAGCCATCTGTCCTGCAAGCCCACCCTGCTCACAGGCATGCTGTGATAGGGAGGACTCAGCCCAGCCTCCCATAGCTTCCTGAAGCAGCTTGCAAAGCCACAGAGGCTGTACCAGATACTTCACTACTGTTGCTGTTCAATAAAGTCTGGAGTGATCTACAACTCTGTCCCTGTCTGTTTGTAGTTGTTGGAAGAAGGAAGAAGGAGGAGGAGAAGGAGAAGAAGAGTTGGATTTATACCCCACCCTTCACTCAGAGTCTCAGAGAGGCTTACAATCTCCTTCCCTTCCTCACCCCACAACAGACACCCTGTGAGGTAGGTGGGGCTGAGAGAACTCTTTCGAGGACTGCTCTTGAGAGAACAGCTCTGAGAGAACTGTGGCTTGCACAAGGTCACCCAGCAGCTGCAAGTGGAGGAGTGGGGAATCAAACCTGGTTCTCCCAGATTAGAATCACACTCCTAACCACTACACCAAACTGGCTCTCTGAGCAGATGAGGTTTGCTCTCTGCCCCCTTCTATGCCTCCCGGAATGATCTCCCTTTCTCATCTGAGGAGGTGAGCTCTGACTCAGGGGAGCTCATGCTGGGACTGGTGATGTCAGTCGTCAGGATGCCACTAGACCTCTGTTTTGTGTAGCCACAAAATATAACACCCTTTCCCCGTGGGCTATGGGGTAGGGGACATTCAGGCCACATGCCTCTGTAGGGGTCGCACTATCATTTGGTCTTTCCTCCTGGTCCTCAGATGCTGGGGAGGCAGTGGCTTCAAGGAGCCGTGGTTGCATCAGCAGGTGGTGATTGGCTGTACCTGTGTGTGCCACTCAGAGGAACATTGATCCCCCTGTGGAATGTCCATAGGGATGCAACCAGCTGTACCACTGCACCACCGCTGCAGCAGCCTTCAGGACAGACTGCAAAGCAGCGGCATAGGCTTCACTCAATAGTGCGTTTACATTAGAGGGTTTTTTTTTAAGGCAGTGGAAATGCCTTGGAATAAGTAGGTAATAGCATGAAACTACCAACAGATAATTTTCTGTTTCATTAGGCTGTCCCATTCTGTAAACATTTTTATAGTGCTGAATCGGAATCAGATGGCACACAGATTATGCAGGCCTGCCACCTGTACTGTGGGAGGATTTTCTGGGATAAAGAAATTCCTTAGAATATCCAGCCTGCCCTCAGCCTATGGGTGTCAAATTCAAATGGGTTAGAGGGTCAAAATCCCACCAAGCATTATGACCATCGTTGTTTACTGGGGGGAGGGATTAAATTCTGCCTGTTACATGCAGCAGCCATTGGGGGAGTCATCTCTACTAAGGGCATCCGTTCTCAAGTGCTGTGGTTCTGTAATGTGCATGAGATGCGTGGTGGGGCTAGTAAAACCCACACAGGGAGCGCCTAATGCCTCGTAAGCCACCTTGGCCTTATTTTTTACCCCTGCTGTACGTGATGTGTTGATATTGTATACAAACATTCATAAGTGCTATCAAATCACAACTGACTTATGGCGACCCCAACAGGGGGCTTTCAAGGCAAGTGAGAAGCAGAGGTGGTTTGCCATGGCCTTCCTCTGCAGACCACTACTCTGGTCTCCCATCCAAGTATTGACCCGGCTTAGCCTCTGCGGTTGATGAGATCAGTTTTTACCATGCCGCCTTCCCTCCTTGATATTGTATACATGGCATCATTAACTATAGGCAAGGGCTGCCAGTGCCGATGCATTTCCCATTATCATCGGTGTGTAGTTTATGGGGCCCATAGCAACATACCTGTATCCTGTCCTCAGGGAGCTCAGTTTTCATTGCTAACATTTCCCTGGCATACACATCAGGATAATGAGCTTCATTGAAAGCCTTTTCCAGTTCCTCCAGTTGGTGGGCAGTAAATACTGTCCTGAAGGTACAAGAGATTTAAAAAAATACATTTTGCGTCTTTCACACACAAAAATGTTCTCAATGAATAACATATTGAGTTCATCCAGCGTAAAAAATGGACACATGAGCCATGATCACGGCAACTAGACACTACTTTAAACGCTTGTAAACTGTAAGTAGACTGAGTGATATCTTCTAAACCTCACTGTTGAAGACCTGCACAACTTCTGACCAACCAAGACAAATGTATGATAGCACGTTAAGCCCTCCCCTCCCCCCAGGATTATGTAGTCCCCAAAAGCCAGCTAAAGTATAATGAACCCATGCCATACTCTACTGATCACTCAACAGCCACATGTCTCTGAATACCGACTGATGACAGCTAATATCATGCCCTGCTGGTGAGTTCCAAGGCATTATATTGGACATGGTAGGAACCAGGATGCTAGACGAGATGGGCCTTTGTTCTGACCCACTGGGATACTCCTTACCACAACTGCTTAATTTTTCCACATCTTATTCAATATACTGTTCTCTCTCTCTGCCTCCCAGTTACCTGAAAAATCTTTCCCAAGGAAGGGAAAACATGAGAGAGTAACTGCATCTTTAAAAATTATACCTCACCTCTCAGCCAAGGGCTTCTGAGGTAGCTTCCACATAACATCAAAAGTTAAAAACAATTCTATAAAAATATCAACATCGAGCAATGAAAGTGCCATTAAAAAACAAAAAAGTTTGCAAGCACACACACACACACATCACCAGTCAACCAAATGCCTTCATGCACACACACAAAACTCCTTAGCCTAGTAACTGCACTAAACAGAGTAGCTCTCAGGTGAGCAGTCGCGGGAAGGACTTCCATAATTATGATGCCGCTTTTCTTTCCAGACTTGTGATTAAACAAGTTGAGAGCCTCCCAGCTCAATCAGGTTCCCTGCTGCTAAGAAACTGACGCTTGCAGATTTGAGACTTGATCCAAACCACGTTTAGCCCTGGATCCAGTTTTCACTGCTGGAACTCAGCACTGAATATGGTTAACCATCGATCAAATGCAGCTTAAGGCTTCCAGCACAGAAGACTTGAGTGACGGTCTTGAGCCCCCAAAACAACTCACTGTAGAAATTAAGCAGTGGATAGTTCATGCAAGTATCCTCCGATATCTACAGTAAAGCTTAAAAATGAAGAGACGCTAAATGGGGCTCCCAGAAACCATAACATTTTCTTACAAAGTTTAATTTGAAGTCTAGCATTACAGCTTGAAGTTAGCAGGACCCCAGGTAATGTCCCATATTGTTACCTGTGCCGACGTTTCTTTCTCTTGATCTGGGACCCAGAAGCCTTCAGGTCACTCTTGTCCCCTGACAAGCTACCTTCATCTGATAAATATTTTAAAGGAAAAGAAAACTGATCAGATCTGGGGCTTTTTTTCCAGCTTGAATCTAACAGGAAAGGTATCTTCAGAGACAGCACTGGGGGGGGGGGGTGTAGCAGTCCACCTGTGCCTCTATGCTGACCCATATGTAAGAAACCTTTCTACTAGGCCATAACCAAGGAGAGAGGGGCAGATGACTGCCAGCCAGGAGAGCAAGCAGGGTTGGCAAGGGGCCAGGGCTGATTAAAACCACTCTCCCCAGTCATCAGGAATATAGGTCAGCTTCATCCATCTCCTCTGCCAAGCAAAAGAAAGGAGTGGGGAGTGCTGGCACAAACGCTGGCTTTTCAGCACCAGGAGAACAGCAAGAACAGATGGACACCACAGCTCTCTGCATGGCTAGGGGTGGGAGAAAAATTAGAGGCAGCCCAATTCATCTACCAAAGGACCAATAGAAACAGGCAAGGAATAACCGAGGCAAATCCAGTTGGTCCTATAAGAAGCCCTCTATGAACCACTGCAAAAGTTATCAGATGTCCCTTGTTTTAGGCAGGTTCTTTATCTTAGACCACCGCATCCCAAAATCAGCCAGTCCCATCTGGCCATGATGTTCACATATTAGAGGTGTCCGAGAGGGCACCGGGGAACAGTGATTGCTGAGCTCCCTTTCGTGTGAAGCTTCATGCCTGAAACGGTGGTTTCCATGGCGTGGTTCTAACAGGCTGCTTGTCTGTTACTTTAAACGCAAATACAGGTAACAAAATCCCAGCCATTCCTTGCGTGAAGGAGAAGGACTTCAAATCCGACTGAAGATGTTTCTCGAGCAGAGAAGTGGAAGACAGAGCTTTTCTCGTCACCAGGTGGAGGGGGTAAAGGTAAAGGTTCCCTTGCTCGAAAGCCAGTCGAGTCCGACTCTAGGGTTGCGGTGCTCCTCTCCGTTTCAAAGCGGAAGAGCCAGCGCTGTCCGAAGACGTTTCCGTGGTCATGTGGCCGGCAGGACTAAACACCAAGGCGCACGGAACGCTGTTACCCCGGGTCTCGAACCGCTGAACTACCGACCTTCCACAGCCTGCAGTTCAGCGTCTTTAACCAGTTGAGCCACCGCAGCTCCGATGGAGGGGGGGGGGGACCTCGAAATCGCCACTTTCAGAAGTGACATCCCCACCCACCCCGCGCGCGCGCCGGAGAGAGGCCGTGTTGGGCAGGGGCGCGAGCGCCGTCCTGGGATGCGGCCGGGGAAGGGCAAGGCAGGGCGAAGCCGCCGCTCGGTGGACGCCAGAAGAGGCTGCCCAGAAGGACGCCTGGCCTGCGGGGTGGGGTGAGGTGGGGGCATCGGCAGGTGATGCTGCAGCAAGAGGAGGGGCGTTTTCATGCCAACAGGTACTTCTTCTGCCCACAGTCCCCCCAGGGATGCAGCTCCGCAAAGCCCGGCGGGCTCTCTGGCCAGCAGCAACAGC